GCCCCTCACCCTCAGTTCCTAACTCTCCTCACCCTCAGCTCCTTCGCCTTTCCTCACCTCAGCTCCCACTCTTCTCCCCTCTACCCTCAGCGCCTAAATCCTTTCTCCTCACCCCTCAGCCCTAACCTTCTCCTCACCCTCAGCTCCTGCTCTTCTCCTCACCCTCAGCCCTAATCCTTCTTCCCCTCACCCTCAGCTCCTAACTTCTCCCCTCACCCTCAGCTCCTGCCTTTCTCCCCTCACCCTCAGCCCTAATCCTTTCTCCCTCACCTCAGCCTCTTAATCCTTCTTTCCCTCGCCTCTAACCTTCTCCTCACCCTCAGCCCCCGCCTTCTCCCCTCACCTCAGCCCTAACCTTCTCCCTCACCCTCAGCTCCTAACCTTTCTCCCTCACCTCAGCTCCTCGCCTTCTCTCCCTCACTCCCTCAGCTCCCCACCTTCTCCCTCACCCTCAGCCCCTCGCTCTCCCCTCACTTCAGCCCTAACCTCTCCCTCACCCTCAGCCCTAACCTTCTCTCCCCTCACCCTCAGCCTCCCCGCCTTCTCCCCTCACCCTCAGTCTTAACCTTCCCCTCACCCTCACAGCCCTAATCCTTCTCCCTCACCCTCAGCTCCTAAATTGCCTCTCCCCTCACCTCAGCTCCTGCCTTCTCCCTCACCCTCAGCCCTCGCTTCCCCCACCCCAGCCCTAACATTTCTCTCCCCCACCTCACCCACTCCCACACCCCCCAGCCCTAACTCTCCCCCCACCCTCACCGCCCCTCGCCTTCTCTCCCCACCTCCCTCAGTCCTTCTCCCCTCACCCTCAGCCTCGCCTTCTCCCTCACCTCAGCTCCCTCACCTTCTCCCCAACCTCAGCACTCAACCCTCTCCCTCACCCCTCAGCCCTAACCCTTCTCTCTCCCCTCACCCCTCACCTTCTCCCCACCTCAGCCCTCCTAACCTTCTCCCCTCACCCTCAGCTCCTTGCCTCCCCCCACCCCTCAGTCCTCACCTTCTCTCCCTCACCCCTCAGCCTCGCCTTCTCCCCCACCCTCAGTCCCCACCTTTCTCCCCTCACCCCTCAGCCTTCTTCCCTCCCTCACCCCTCAGCTCCTCACCTTCTCCCCACCCTCAGCCTCACTCTTTCTCCCCCTCACCTCAAGCCCTAACCTTCTCCCCTCACCCTCAGCCCTAATCCCTTCTCCCTCACCCCTCAGCCTCGCCTTTCTCCCCCTCACCCCCTCAGCCCCTAACCTCTCCCCTCACCCCTCAGCCCCCGCCTTCTCTCTCCCCTCACCCCTCAGTCTCACCTTCTCCCCTCACCCTCAGCCCCTCGCCTTCACCCTCACCCTCCTCCCTCACCTCAGTCCTCACCTTCTCTCCCTCACCTCAGCTCAATGCCTTCTCCCCTCACCCTCAGTTAACACCTTTCTCTCACCTCACCCCTTCAGCTCCTAACTCTCCTCCCCACCTCCCCACCTCTCTTCTCCCTCACCCTCAGCCCCTAACCTTCTCCCCTCACCTCAGCTCCTCATCCTTCTCACCCTCACCCCTCAGTCCTCACCTTCCCCCACCCCCACCTTCTCCCCCTCACCCTCAGCCCCAACCTTTCTCCCTCACCTCAGTCCTCACTCTCTCCCTCACCCTCAGCCCCTCGCCTTCTCCCTCCCCACCCCTCAGTCCTCACCTCCCTTCTCACCCCAGCCCCGCCTTCTCCCCCTCAGCTCCCAACCTTCTCTCCCCTCACCCTCAGCCCTCACCTTCTCCCCTCACCCCTCAGCCCCTCACCTTCTCTCCCCTCACCCTCAGCCCTCACATTCTCTCCCCCTCACCCCTCAGCCTCACCCACCACCACATTAGTAGTACTAATAGTGAGTCACACACCGACACACACACACTTATAAGGTGCAAATCTCCCCTCCATCCATCCCTCCTCTTCCCTCCATCCCTCCCCTTCTCCCTCCTCCATCCATCCTTTCCTTCCCTTTCCATCTATTCTTCTTCCATCTATTCTTTCCTTTCCTTACTTCTTCTTCCTTCTTCTATCTCTTTCCTTCCTACTATCTATCTCTTTTTTCTATTTTCTTCCTTTCCTTTCTATCTTTCCTTCTCTTTCCATTCATTCTTTTTTCTTCCATCTTTTCCTTCCCTTTCCATCTTTCCTTCTATCTCTTTCCTTTCCTTTCCTTCTATCTTCTTTCTCTCTATCTCTTTCCTTTCCTTCTTCTTCTATTTCTTTCTTCCTTCATTCCTCTTTCCTCTTTCTTCTGATTCTGTTCTTTTCTATCTATCTATCTCTTTTTCTTCTATCTATCTCTTCTCTATCTCTTTCCATTCTATCCTTTCTCTTTCCAATATCCTCCCTCCCCTCCATCCTCCCTCCCTCCCTACCTCCTCCTTCCTTCCATCCCTCCTCCCTTCTCATCCTCTCATCCCTTCCATTCCCTCTCCATCCTCCCTCCTCTCCTCCATCCTCCCTCCTCTCTCCTCCCATCCCTCCCTCCTCCCTTCCCTCCACTCCCTTCCTCCCATCCATCCTCCTCCCTCCCTCCATCCGTCCTTCATCCATCCATCCATCCTCCATCCATCCTCCCCCATCCTCCCTCCTCTTCCACCTTCCTCCTCCATCCTCCTTCCTCCCCATCCATCCTTCCATCCTCCTCCATCCTCCCTCCCTTACATCCATCCATCCTCCCCACCACACCCCCCCCCCCCCACCCCACACACCCCCACACCCCCCCACCCCCCCCCACCCCCCCCACATCCATCCTCCTCCTTCCATCCATCCTCTCCATCCATTCATATCCTCCACTCCATCCTTCCTTCCTTCCATTTACCTTCCTTTCACCCCTTTTTCTTCTCTATCTCCTTTCCTTTCCCTTTCCACCTTCCTTCCCATTCTTCCTTTACTTCTCTTTCCTTTATCTCCCACCCCCCCCCACCCCCCCCTTCCTTCCACCTCTCCCATCTATCTACATCCATCTATCTATCTATATCCATCTATCTCTCCTCTTCCCTTCCTTCCATCCTTCCCTTCCTCCTCTCCATCTATCCTTCCTTCATCTATCTCTTCTCCATCTATCCATCCTTTCCCTTCCTCATCCTTCACTCTATCCTCCACTCCTTCCCTTCCCTTCCATCCATATATCTCTTTCCTTTCACTTCTCTATCCCTTCCTTTCCTTCCTTCCTTTCCATCTATCCTCTTCCCCTTTCTTTCTCTTATCTTCCCCTCCACTCCTCCTCCTTCCTTCCTTCTCCTCTCCACCTCCCTTTCCTTCCTCCTCCCTTCTCCCTCCTCCCTCCTCCTCCTCACCTCCCTCTCCTTCCCTCCCTAGTGACGTAAGACTGACTCACCCACACACCAAGGCCAACATGGTGACGAAACTGCACTGAGACTTTACCAGGATGTCTCGTCTTAGCTGCACTAGGTGAGAAAAGCATTATGTGAGTATTGGAGTCTGAGAACCTGGCAGGAGGTGGTGTCTGGCGGCGAGGGTGGTGAGAACAGGTGAATGGAAGCCAGGTATGAAAACCCAGGGGGAGGATGGCTGAGGGTGGAAGGACTGAGAAAGAGGGAGGGAGATGGAGGAGGAGAAGGGATGGAGGGAGGGATGGACAAGGGACACGACTACTGGCCTTGCTACGCTACCCCTCCCGGCATCCACCTGGTGTCTTGATGCAGCCCCTCCTCCCCTCCCTCCATACCCTTCCTCCCTCTCCTACTCCCTTCTATCCTCCCTCCCTTCTACCCTCCCTCCCCCTCCTACCCTCCCTCTCCTACCCTCTCCTATCCTCCTCCCGTCTCCACACTATTACCATCTGACACTATCACCACTACCAGCACTATCACCACCACTACCACCATCATCACCACCATAACCACCACTATCATCACCACCATTGTTTACAGATCACCTACAAATTAGCCTCCCCCAGCATAATTCACCTGAAGATTAGACACCCTGACGTTACCTGGCAGTACGGGTATGTTAGGTTAGTTTAGGCACAGAGAGAGAGAGAGAGACCAGATGTAAACAACCCTCAACATCCCTTAACGGAAGATGGTGACACTATCTTCCCCAAACGTCGTCAATAATGGAAATGGCACCACTACTCCTGATACCAGCTGTTCCTTCACCACTACTCCTCGATACCAGCTGTTCCTTCACCACTACTCCTGATACCAGCTGTTCCTTCACCACTACTCCTGATACCAGCGCTGTTCCTTCACTCACTACTCCTGATACCAGCTGTTCCTTCACCACTACCCTGATACCAGCTGTTCCTTCACCACTACTCCTGATACCAGCTGTTCCTTCACCACTACCCTGATACCAGCTGTTCCTTCACCACTACTCCTGATACCAGCTGTTCCTTCACCACTACTCCTGATACCAGCTGTTCCTTCACCACTACTCCTGATACCAGCTGTTCCTTCACCACTACTCCTGATACCACGCTGTTCCTTCACCACTACTCCTGATACCAGCTGTTCCTCACCACTACTCCTGATACCAGCTGTTCCTTCACCACTACTCCTGATACCAGCTGTGCTCACCACTACCCTGATACCAGCTGTTCCTTCACCACTACTCCTGATACCATTCCTTCACCACTACTCCTGATACCAGCTGTTTCCTTCACCACTACCATGATACCAGCTGTTCTTTCACCACTACCCTGATACCAGCTGTTCCTTCACCACTACTCCTGATACCAGCTGTTCCTTCACCACTACTCCTGATACCAGCTGTTCCTTCACCACT